AAAAAAAAAGGATGCGAATAGTGTAAGAATAGTATTGTAATTGACAGTGGTATAAGTAACCAGTATTGTTAGTACCGTAAGTTATGTAATTAGCTGTATGTGACATAGTGTATTGTCATTAGTGTAAGTATGTAGTATTGTAAGTAATGTATTTTATTGTACTGTTTAAAAAAATAAAATGTCAAAAAAATAATAATAAAATAAATAAGCTCTGGTTGATCTCTAACTACAGTCGTTTTATGACGACACTAACAGACCTTCATGAAGTTCAAATCTGACTCACAGCCAGAATTTTCAGTGAAGTCCTCCAAAACGAAACAAAAATGCCATTTCTAGCCACAATTTAACAACTTTTTCAGAGCATCTGTAAGGTTTATAGATGCTCTAATCGAACGGTTTTAATTAGAGATCAACCAGTAGATTTTGTCAGGAATGAAACTTCCTCGTGCCCAGGCCTCCCAAGCCAAGAGTGACAGGAGGCTCTGGGGAGGAGACTGCACTATTCCGTCCGGTTCACTTTCTCTTTCGTCTTACATTTCTCTGAGGCATTCAGCTCAAATTGAAATGGCTCTACAAATTACAGACGACCACACTACAGAGAGTGTTGCTGAAGTGATGTCACAATTACAGTTTGATCAAGGAACAAAGATAGGACCGGAGGCACGTCAACAACTATTAAGAGATCTTGATTTCCAGAGAGAACGTCAAGATCAGGATGAGGAAGAATACAGTCAGTTTGTTTTCCAAGGCCAATGTTTGATACTGGGAGACTCCAGAGTTGGTAAAACAAGTCTAGTGAAGTCTCTTACCGGAAAACCATTTGACAGTGAAGAACCAAGTACGAAAGGAGTTCAAACTAGCTGGGTAGACCGGAAGTGGCAAAATCTTAATGCTGACACAGACCTCAAGTTCGGAAGCTTTGGTCGATTCTACAAATCTGTTCGCTTTGTGATTGCTATGTTGGAGTCTGGAGGATGTAGTATCTTGTGTGATTACGAAACCATATCTATACTTTCTCCTGCTTCCAAGATACTGTCGCTGTGTTGGATTATTTCCGTCATATGCTTGGGGGTGTTTGCCAATCCGCCTGTTGGCTTTTACATTTTTTCATTCCTTGCACTTGTCACAGCAGTAGTACTCCCGTGTGTATTGCGAGTTTTCCATGTCATTTCTATATGCCAGGAATTTCTATATGAGTTATCTATTTTGCGTTTTTCTCCAGGTTTGATGACAGGGCTTGTTGGTTTAATGCTGTTATCTGCATATGCAGAAATAGGGAAAAAAGAAGGCATCGAATGTAGTTATGTAGAGTTTTCGTTTAGTATTAGAGGTTTACTGAAGGTATTCGCGTGGTGTTTTCACCTGTCAGTTCTCTCAACAGTGTTCCTATGCACAGTTATAGATTTAGCAAATCCTCCAGATAGGAAATACTACAGTGCTACAATGGAGTCTGTTGACGGATCGTCGTTGGTCCATGTAGGGGAAAGGGAATCCGATTTTACGTTTCTAAATGTTGTAGCATTTGTATATGCGTGTATATATTCTAAAGCAATGGAATTTCTGACGGGTTCTTCACGTTCTGCATTACTGACGTACACGTCAGTCCATGAATATTGCCAATTTCTTCATATTACAGTCATTGTGTTTTCAGGTCTTTTGATGTTTCTCTTAATACGAACACTGTGCAGGGTAACTAACATTATGAAGGGAATTGTGAGCCCCATCTTGTTCATATTTGTTATGGAGAGCATACCCAACTGCTTTACTTCATTTTATTCAATGAAGTCATATAGATTTATACTTGACATAGGATTTGCCTGTCACATTATGATCCTTACATGTATTAGTAACTATTTTGTAAAACTTATTGATTACAAGTCTGTATTTATACATGTACGTAGGGTAGCACTAGATTACCAAAAGTTGAGAGGAGCCCTTGATGCTAAGTTTTCAAATCTTAAGTTAGGCATCCTTGACTTTGCTGGAGACAAAGAATACTATGTCTACCATCACCTTTTTCTTCGAAATCAGGCAATTTATGTTGTTGTCTTTAACATGGCACATTTTGCAGCTGACAATTTCAAAACTGTAACTGGGGAAATCCAAAGACTTCATTTCTGGCTGGAATCCATTTGTAGCCAAGTAGCACCAAAAACACCAATCTTCCTTGTTGGAACGCACAGAGGAAATATGAATAAATCCTGCATTGACTGTCTACAGAAACACTTAAAACAAAGTCTTTGGCACAACTTTTCTGATGAGCTAGTAGTAAATGAAGAGGACAAGCTGATATATTTTCCAGTTGAAAACAAGCAAGGAGCAAATGATAGTGGAATCCAAAACCTTAAAAGAAAAATAGTCTCCACTGCTCAGGAGCGCAAGACAACTATTGGTTGTAAAATTCCATTTTCGTGGATAAAAATCCAAGATGCCATAATTAATCTCAGACAAAACAACAAGAAAGCAAATTTTTGTGTTACACTGGAGCAGTTTCCAACTTCGTTTAAGAACTTTTTTATTTGCAGCAACTGGTCAAAGGAAACTTTGAACTACTTCAATGAGAAAGGACTTATAATCTATGTTGATCGAGGCCAGGATTCAGAGATGTCTAAATGGGTTCTACTGAAACCATCAATACTTGTTGATGTTATAATTCAGTTGGTCACTCCACCAGCTAGTGATGAAATGATCTCAGAGCATGGCTTCAGACGTGATTGGACACTACTTCTCAACACCGGGATGCTTACAGAGTCCCTTCTGAGGAACATTCTCAGCAAATTGCAGGAAAATGAAGAAGCAATGAAGGGATTCCTTGAGGAATATGACATTATTTGTCCTTTATTCTACAAGGTAACTAATGAGAAAGAAGAGGCAAAAGTGACACACTTTGTTCCGTCACTGCTGCCAATGTCAGTGAATGGGAACACACCAGTATGGCACAGTGAGCTCACAGACAAGAGGCTCTTTGTATTCTTCAAGAGATTTCTTCCCGAGGGACTTTTTCACCACCTCCTGTCACGTGCCCACAGACTCAGCATGGCAAATTTCCCTAGTGGACAGCCAGTTATATACAGAAATGTTGGCCGGTTTTGGTTTTCACCCGCCCAGCCCTACAGGCTGTTAGCTCTTAAGAAGGAGAACATGATTGAAGTGACATTTAGCTGCAGGTTAGTATTAAAAGGATACATGTATATCTGATTATTACAAAATGCAATGTTCATCCCCATAATAGGAAATGTTACAGTATAAGGCCTTGAAAATTATGTTGTGAATTGCAAATCCTAAACAAAATAATCTGTTATCTTCCTTGCTTAAAAAAAGGATTAAAACTCTGAGCCCTGAATGGTGGCAATTGCAGTAGATAATTGTACAGCCCTTTCAAATTTCATTAAGTTAAACTGAACTTTTGAAGCACAGGACATACAGTGGAACCCCGTTTATAAAGTGGTACTATGATGAAAATCGCATCTTTCCTATCTAAGCTATCTAAAACATATATTTTTTCTTCTCATACAGACTATTTGTTTTAGTACAGACTACTTGTTTCAAACAAGTAGTTTTAAACAAGTAGACTGTACAAGAAGAAAAATGCTGTTTGAATACTATTTTCAAATATCTCTTCTCGTTCCAGAGATATTCAGTTTTTAAAATATTCAAATTAGCAATGTGATGACATCAAACTCAACCAAATTTTGATCAAATATGATGAACAAAGATATCTCAGCCAATTTAAGGTGATTTCCTAGTAAAAGAACATGCCATAGATTTCCATGCTGCTGTTACAGGACAAGGAGATATTAAAAATATAGTAAAAAGAGGGGGTCACCTTGCTTGTTTTCACGCCACAATGCTGACAAATACAGTTATTTAGGTGACTTTTGGTCATCTATGTGCGCAGCAAATAAGCTTGATTATTTTTCATTGCAGCGTGTTATATCACACAGGGTTTGACTTTCTTTGATTGTTTATTTATCTACATCCCAGAAAAAATGTCTTCAAATACCCTGCATTTTTTTATCCTTTAAAGGAAACATAATTTGGTCGTGGCTTGCTCGGAGGAATGCTTCTGAATAAGAACTGAACTGACAGGTCCCTGGGTACCTACGAGACCTGACATACAACAACATGTTATGCCACGAAAGAACAGTGTTCGTTACTCTACGTAGAAATAGTCGCTTACGAGAGCGGTCGCAATGACAGCTTTGACCGCAGTGCGCATTGTTTCTTGGCGAACTGAATGCGCTTAATCAGAGATTCAGGATATTATCTCCCCATCCCCCGGGACGGGGACAGTTTGCAATACCTTCCCAGCCTCACTCTACGCATTCACTCTCTCCACATCCTTTCGGACGTCGCGTGCACAGTGCCCAGAGCTCAAGGAAGAACGAGGCCAGAAATAATAAAACAAAAATTAGAAATAACGGGTATACTGTACCTGCACCTCCCTTATGTCCTTGGATATCTGATCGGCAAACAGCTTTCACTGTTACAGTTTTTCCCGCCGGGCCTGGTTTATCAGCTAGAGGTCTCTGTCTGGCGGGACCGTGACTAAACTGCGGTTGCGTGACAGTTGGACCAGATGTCGTTACAATAGGAAGTGGAGGTTGATGACGTGGCATGTCTTCTGCATCTAAGTAATGTTAACAGGAACAGTTATTGAATTATGCTTTGTATTATAAAAGTATAATGAGAAAGTAAATCGACTCCGCTGACTGGCTTCTGATACTATAACAATAGGAAAACACTCTCTCCAAGGGCGGGAGATGACAGACATTTCAGGCAACTCTCTGATCTGCCTTGACATCATTTTTAGAGAGAACAGATCTAACACCTCGCCTATTTTGTTCTTGACAAATTTAGGTTTCACAAGTTTTTCAGAAGATTTTTATCCACTGCAATACCAAGTACAATGGACCAGATAATTCTATTCTGAGATGTGAGATAGTACCGTTGTTGTTTACTGAAGCACCAGGCGGAGGTCTTCGTCCACCCTCTTCTCCTTCCCTGAACATGCTCATGGCTTCTAGGTTCAGAGCACACACTCCACGCATAAAAGCTTTTTTCATGGTTTCTTCATAGCGCTCCCTCTCGGCATGAAGATGAGCGATTTCTGTTCGTGCCATCTCCAGTTCACGGTTGGCCTGCAAATAAAAAATCGGGAAACTAAATCTCTAATAAATGGCAGTCAAAATACAGTTATCACAGCTCAATACGCTAGCGAAAGAAATCACATATTAAAATCACATATTAAAAGTTTTTAAATATTACTGATGAAGAATGCGTACCTACTGTACAGATTTAGGTATCCAAGTTGGGTGCACAGAGTCACTCGTGAAATTCTTCATGAAGTCCACACTCGTGAATTCAGAGGAAGGCATTGTAATAATTATATAGGTTAATTTGAATGGCCGCCTGACTATCATTTTCCACGACCATATTTAATTTGGTGTTACAAGACTGGAGTTTTGCCTGTGTAAAGAACATTGTAAACACGACTTACCGTTTGAAGACGACTTTCGTAATCTTCCGTTAATTTCACGCACACATCTTGAGCTTTCGCCTTAACAAAACGTTGGGAATAACATTATACATGTCGAAAACAATTATTAGTTAGGACATTCCAGCATATGATAGCAACTTCATTGTTTGCCCAAATTTACAACTGAGATACACACTGTAAAGAGAGAGATAATTGTGATTATTTTTCAACCAAACTATAGCAAAGATATCAGTGAAGTCACCTATTTTTATTAATATGCCAACCACAGAACAATTGGTTGGTGAAACAAAGAATTCTTTTGTTTAACGTTTTAAACATTTACATAACAATAGCAATGTTTGTAAACAAATATCTTCCCTGTGCTGAAAGTTCATTTGTGAGTTGTTTTCGTTCACAAGAAAATACATTCACAGGTTATAGACTTACGCTTAGGCTGAAAAAAAATTATTTGAGATTCATAGCTAGTGTAGCTTCCTCCTGCTCGTTAAACACAAGGGAATTTACCTGACAAGCTTTCTCTACTCTCTGTTTCCATTTGGATTCAATAACGGATCGCCATGCGTTCCATGCACGTAATTTAAGAGCGTGTTTGTAGTGTTTTCTAGCAAGTTTGGACGCAAAACCCTGCAGACAAACGTTAAGAACAATTATCAACATAAGAAATAATCAGAATACCCCACAGCAATACTGGGTAAAAGTTTACTTCCTGAAATCAAAACAGCATCAGTTACGTTACAACATGCAGTGTTCCAGATAAGTGAGGGGTCTCGGGTCAAAACCCGACAAGATCAGCTGCACGACCCGACAAATTAGTAGAAAAATTATAGTGATTTGGTGGGAGCATTGGAAATTGACCCGTAAGAATTCCTCATTGGCACCCAACCTTTAAAACTTACCTGGAACCCTGAACATGTAAATCGTATTTCATTCCCCTTGTAAAGCAGTTGATAGCGCAGTTTGACTTGCCAACAACTATCCAAAGAATGTGGATAGCGTTATCCACCCGATGAGCAATTGGGCCCACGTGTACATGAGGTTCAGTAAAAAACGCGAAACAGGGCACTTAATTCTTACCTCGCGGCTGAGCATACCTTGCACACGAGCGAACTTGAAACCATCTCTTTGAAATTTACAATCATGTAAGACGATTGCTTTCTTTCCCCCTCAAAAATTACGATCACAGCGCTGCCATATTCCGCATCTTTTTGTTTGTTTTAGTTGAAGTAGTTGTTTTTCACTTGAAATAGTTAACGGCGGGTGATACACGGGAATCCTAGTTTACAATACTTGTCTCATTAGCAGAAGCAATTCAGTTTCTGATGGAGGTACAAATGAAACAGTTCTGAATATTGAAAGGCCATAGTACGATTAACTCTGCCAATGATAATGAGTTGACGTATTGAATAATTTTCCTGTGCAACACGGGTTCAAAAACTCAAAATTTTACAAAGAATGTATGAGCTCATTAGCGCTTAAGCCACCCAGACATTTTGCAGTTTTTGAATACTATCTCCTTGAATATTGCACCCAAAGAGCTAAAACTTTCACCATGTATTAAGTTCCACTAGCTCTTTAGCTGCCAGGAGTCAGTTTCCTTCTGTACGCTAAGCCGCATGCAAATGAGCAAAAAATGTAAACAATGACGAAAGCATGAATTTCGCTATACGAATGAGAATTAAACCATTACATGGTATTACATGAAAGTAAAAGACAAACATCGAACCTCTCTCTTTTCATCGCAGTGTCTTATTTTCCATAATGTAAATGCCCTCATCAGCTCACTTCTTTCTTTCTGTAAAATACATGTGTAAATGTGGGAGACTTTAATATTCACCAAAAATAAAAAAGTGAATGTAGTACTGATAACGATTAACCAAAAGCTGTTTGCCCGTCTATAAGCTGTCTTGCCTACCAGCTTGCAGTTGCTGTTCGGGAGCAGGGGTCGGGAACCTCCTAGCCTGCGAGCAGGCTCACCTTTGAGTCACGCGCGAGAGCGGTGAAGAGCAAAGCGATCTGGCGGGAAGGAGTCTGGTGAAACGCTTGTGCTAAACCGTGAGCCTGCTCGCAGGCTAGGAACCTCCAGAGGGGTGGTTACTAGAAAGGAAGGTTAGTAAGATATGCTACTAACCTGTTTTTGAATAGCCTCAGTGATATTTGCCACGATGGAGTCCTTGTGAGACAGGGTCTGTTCATAAGTCAGTAACAACTCTTTCTGACTCTCCATCTCATTCATCAGTTTGTTCATTTCAACGCCGTGTCTGCATGTCAAATAAATAAAGGTCAAGTTAGGAAATCTTCTAGTCAAGGGAACTGGTCAATGCGAAATCCATGTATCATATCATGAGTGAGCCAGTGAAGTGGAACTGATCATAAATTAAGTCCGTGTAACAGGGTTTTTTTCCTTTTATTCTTTTTTTTTTCAGAATTACAACCATTTCAGTAAGCAAGTGAGATATATTGTCACTATCAAGCATGTCAGACAGATTTTTTTTGTTGTTTATTCTTTTTTACGACACTAATAACTAATTATTTGTTTTTCAAAAATGACATAAAGCTGCAAATTTATCTAGTTATACCCAGGCTTCAGTTTCGATTTATCCGAACGGGATTGAAGGTTTCAAAATAAAAGAGGCCTGGGAACTAGACATAGAAGGTTGCTTTCTCTTTTTCGCCTGTCCTCGTTAGCAGTGAGGCTTTGACACGAGGAAGGGCGACACCTGATTGGCCAGATTGTTGGCTAGGATCCTCACTACGACAACGATGGTTTCCTTTCCGAAAATAAGCTTTCGGAAAATAAGTTCTGCTCTGAACGTCGACTACAAGATTCTCACTAAAGTTATAGCCAAGAGAACTGAAAAAGTCTTGCCAACGTTAATAAGCCCCGATCAAACTGGTTATGTTAAAGGCCGCTACATTGGTGAAAATGTAAGTCTAATCTACGACTTAATACATTATGCAGATAAGTTGAATCAAAAAGGTATTGCCATTTCCTTGGACTTCAAAAAAGCGTTCGATTCCATCGAATGGAACTATCTCTTAGAAACACTTTAGCTCTTCAACTTCGGCCATGACATTCAAACTTGAGTAAAAATTTTCTATAATAATGTTATCAGCTGTGTTCTGAATAACGGTCATGCTTAAACTTTTATCTCCCTACAGCGGGGAGTCAGACAAGGTTGTCCGTTGTCTGGCGTTCTCTTCGTTCTCTGCATAGAATTCCTCTCTAGATCCATAAAAAATGACCCCACTATTAAAGGTATCCAAGTCAACAAGCATGAGCTTAAAACAAGTCAATGTGCCGACGACACCACAGTATTTGTTCGTGACCTCGACTCCGTTACGAGTCTATTGAGGGTGTTAAGGTAGCTCCATAGGGTAATCATTTATGGCGTTGCGCGCGAAGTGTTATGTTTTGAATGCTGTTTTTGCATTCGCTTTCACACCTTGTCCTCTCAAACTTATTACATGGAATAAGCAATGATTAAATAGTGTTTTGCTATCATCTCTGTTAAAATTTTGGGATTTAGTCTTAAATAATAAATGTCCAAACAAAAGTGTTTTTTACGGTTTTTATGGCTTTATTGTGATTTTCATGAATTTCCTTCGGTGAAATCTTCCAAAATTTTTACATCACATCGCTTCCAGCGGGATACGAATTTTAAACACGAAAAAAGTAGGGGTTGTAAAGGCAGTTTTTTCGATTTTTCAAATTTATGTCTTTTACCGCTGCAAAAAATCTGCTCTTATAGATTTCTCTGAAAAACGAGCTCCGACTAAAGTAAAATATTTTCTACCAATCTGCCAAATATTACGGAATTTCACCGAAGGAAACAGGAGAAAATTCACTGTCAGTTTTGCTTTTTTGCTCGTGTTGACGTGATAAAATATCGAAAAACACTGACGTTTTCCTTTGAGCGCGCGCAGATTACTTCCTCAGCGCTCGCGCGATCGTAAAACTATAGGGAGCCACCTTAAATGATTTCAAAGGGCATTCTGGTCTAGAAATAATAAACACCACTAAAACCGAAGCAATGTGGTTGGGCGAATGGAAAGACAGAACAGATGAACCTTTTGGTTTTAAATGGCCAAAAGAACCTATCAACGCCCTTGGTGTNGGTAATCTCCGTGCACAACAAATAAGCTCGATTATTTTTCAATGCAGCGTGTTATACCACACAGAGTTTGACTTTCTTTGATTATTTATTCATCTACGTCCCAGAAAAAATGTCTTCAAATACCCTGCATTTTTTTATCCTTTAGAGGAAACATAATTTGGACATGCGCTGTTGGGCCCGTTATGTTTCCCTCTGTAGTATTTATTTCATTTGCCAAAAAGGTAGCCATAGATTTCTGCTAATTTTTTTCTCAGTTATTGAGGATATTGTCCTCATTGAAATTACTAAATAAAAAGTGGGGGTCACCGTGCTCGTTTAATAGAAAAGGAGCATTTATTTCGCTATCGAGCTTAGTTTGAGGGGAAACTCTTACGTTTTGTATGTGCACTAGCTCATGTGTGCACACTAGTGACACGAAAATCGTGCTAAGTAGGAATGCACAATGCAATGCTAAGGAATCACCTTACATCATAAAATGTTTGAATTTTGGCAGTACGATTCTACTAGAGGTGATCCACAATATGAGCCTTACATTTTTGTTACCATGGCAACATACTGGCTCCCAGACCTCCCCAATATTAAAGGCTTTTCTGGCCTCCTTAAGCATTCTATATAGATATTTGCCAGTGGTGCCTGATCTGCATGATCCAGCAAGCATATAATGTATTTTTCACTTTTCAAAAAAAAAAGCATGATGATACATGTAAGTGCTACTGTATCATAAATAAATGTACATGTAAATAACTCAAGTACAGAACAGGGTGTTTTGCATATTAAGTGTTTTCTGCAATTATTGTAATTCACAGAGATGAAGAGGGAATGAAGCCATCAGACGTGTTGAGCCTTGTGTTCCTTATGGTGCAAGAGATCTGTCAGAGGCACTTTCCTTATGTCACGTTCCACTGTGGTCCAGCCTGCTCCTCAGACAAGTGTCCTGGGCACCAAAGTGATTATATATCACACCCAGGTGTCCAGCAGCCAAGCTCACGGCCGCATGTGTTCAATGTGTTACCTGCACGCCAGGAAGATTTGTATTCTTCCTTTTACTGCGTCAACCATAATTTTGAAAATGATTTAAAGGAATGGTTATTGTAGAGTAAATAACAAGTAACACTTAAAAAATAGTAATTAAAAGTGTACTTGTTTACAAGTATATTTCCCTACAATTGAAGTTCAGAACATAGATGTCATTATTACACATGCAGAGCCCAAGTTACATGTAAGCTATATGCACAATAAAACAAAACTTGGGCTTGCCAGTAGCTAGTTTTTACATTGCAACTTATAGTATGCATTCCACCTATGTAGAGTGAATGAGTGTTGAGAAGTAACAATTGTACTCCTAGTCAAGTCAGCTTCTGAAAACAGAGATAAGCTCTGTAGGCTTCAATGCAGACTTCACCTAGACAGTGTAGTTACATGTAATGGTTTACATGTAATTTAGGAAATCAGAGTTTTTTGTTGCCACTCACTTGTAACATGACAAACATTCTACAATCTTTTTCAGTTCACTTCAGCTTATAATTAACCATGCTTCTACATTTATCACCATACAGTATGCCCTCAACATTTCTGACTGCAGTAATGTGTAGAACACATGCCAATACAAACTGGCAAAGCAGCCCACAGTGTAACTCACCATGAGTCTCTCTGCTGCTTTGTGGATAAACCACCGACCAGGACTGTTTAAGAGGAAATTGTTTGAATCCCATTGAGGACTAATGCTTTGTCCCACTTTGGTGACATGATGAACATTAATATATCTTGCTTACATGGTTTTTTTTCCTTCAAAAAGCTAATTCAAACAATTCAATTTAATTTGCAATGGGTAAATTAACACACCTCTTTGAGGTTTGATACAAAGAACATTCCAAGAGAAAAGTGTTTTCTATCTTTGGTTAATTAACTGTTAGTAGCTGTCCAGGGGTTTCATTAAGGGCTGGGCACTGCACAAATTGACCGGCTGATTTCGCCAGACTGGTTTGACCATCTAGGGGAAACTTTTTCTTGTAGAGAGTTTCAGTTCAAAAAGTTTTGCACAGCTGTGAAAACCAGTTGCCCTCCTGCTGAAAACTTAATGAAACACCTGGCTGTCAAGTGATGCTAATAATGTATACTGGTCATGTACCTTCTTTTCTCTTGCATCAGAAGTTGCTTCTGTTTTTCAAATAATCCCATTTTGCACTGGGCAAATTCAGCCTGTTTTCAAGAAAGAAAAGAACATGTACATGTATGAAATACATTGTGTTATATCTCAGTTTTTTAAACTGACACAGGGGCCTTACAGTAAGTACCTGTAGAGACACAGACAGAAATGAGAAGTAGATGATCTTGTTTCAGAACACTTTCACCCCCAGCAGTGATTAGGATAGTGCTTTTTTATGATAATAATTATACACTAAAAGCAAATGGTTTTTGTCCATGCACATGTACATTGTAGAAGTACATGTAGACCTAAATTTAAACAAGAGTTTAAAATTTATACCGGTAATTGGAATGTATTGTCATTTGTTAGAAAGGTCAATAAAAAATTGTGTACAACATGTGTGTACAGTGATGTAGGTGTACCAGGGCTCGACACTAACGGTAGCCAACTAGCCACAGACTAGTAGAAATTTAGTTTTGGCTCAAAGGTTTTCGATTTCCACTAGCCACTTTGGCTGGCAAACAAAATGAAATTGGCCGAACTAGTTTCTGTCTTTCCTCTGGAAAACATATCCTTTTCTCAGAAACAAGATCAGAATTTCATTGTGGACATACATGTACCATGTGACCAGGCACGTGCTGTTCAGCATGTATGCAAACTTAAGTTTGTTTACTTTTGGCTGTGTCGTACGTAAATGGATAACCGAACATGTTACCATGTTGAAAGAAATATTTGACAAACAAGACAGCATTTTCTGAAAGAACACATCAATGTTCTTTTTTGTTTGAATTAGTGGAACAAAACACAAGCTTCCTGATAAAATCATGCGCAAAATTGTGAGGAACTGTAAAGAGATAACATTTCATATATATAGTAACGATACATGGGTGATCTGTCATCATATGCATACTTACAAACTTACCACTACAGAAATAATTAGATGAGAAAGATTTATTTCCTTTGACATTTAAATCAGTTGTTTTTAGCAGTCAAATTTCACCAACAATAGTTTGCAGTATTGTTCCAATAGTTGTTTTGCTTTCTACGGTGCCTGTCAGTCTGTGAAGAAGTCTCAATAGTTTTTACAATGACGTCTCAGAGTCTTTATATTTTTCCAAGGAAGTCTCAAAGAAAAACAGAGTCCTAAAAGTCTTTTCAGGAACTGGAATTAACTTTATTGGAACTAATTTAAAGTGCCTATGAAGTAAAAAATAATTCCCGCTTATTTGAAAGGCTTTTCAAAGTAAAGAGGAATGGCGTTTTCCCTTTTGGTATATCTTTTTTGGTTTTAGAGATATTCACGTTTTGGTGTTATGCAAATGAGGAAAGTGATGACGTCATAGGTGGTTCCTCTAAAACAGCACAACACTCAATCGAGAATAACTCTAGAAATATTAAAGCAGTGTTCTTCAAACTTGGCACTAGCAATGTACGTCACAAAAGAAACAGAATGACACCTACTATGCTGTTGCCATGGCAACAATCTTGGCTCCAGTCTCTTTCCATGAAAAACCAAATGTCTCCATTTCCAACCTTTTAAAGTGGGACAGAGGGTCTTGCTCGGAACACAAATGGTTCCCATATTGTCTTAACTCTCCCCATTAGATTGTTGGGAGTGAATGATCCATGTTTACAATAAAATCTGGGAATTTTAGTCTTCATTAAAACAGAACCAGCAGCATAACTGTTGTCATGGCAATGACACGACGGGTGTCATTATGTTTCTTTTGTGATGTACATTTCTGGTGCCAAGTTTAAAGAACACTGCTTTAATATTTCTGGAGTTATTCTCAATTGAGTGTTGTGCTGTTTTAGTGGAACCACCTGTGACGTCATCACTTTCCTTGCAAAAACGTAAATATCTCTCAAACGATAAAAGATATTCCAAAAAGGAAAACGCCATTCTTCTTCAATTTGAAAAGCCTTTCAAATAAGCAGCAAGTATTTTTTACTTCATAGGCACTTTAAGTTCAATGTAATTACCAAAATTGTGTATTAAAGAGAAATGCTTGCCTTTTGCTTTCAAGTCTTGCTAGTAATTCTGTTGTTTATTGGACTTACCTTGTTACATGAAATTTTCATGGCCAGTTAATTTCGCGAATTTCACATTTTAAAAAAATTGCAAGTGACGTGAAGAGTTAGTGCTGGGAACATAACACATTATGTTACTGATGACATATAGTCCCGCCATTGCGTTTTTGTTACTTTTGACGTTATTGTACCCTTGATAAAGTCGGTTTACTAAATTCAAGGGCATGTTCAAGTAACATTGCCAAGGAAATAAATTGTGTGTTACTCAAAAAGGAGAAGTTTAAGTGATTCAAAATACAAAAACTTTTGCAAAATTGCAGAATTTAAGTGTCGCAAAATATACACACCCCCAAACCATGAAATAAACATGTCACAAAAATTTCATGTAGTAAGGTAGCCAACCTCAATGCTTGGCTAGTAAAAACATTTTTTTGGCTAGTAACATCTAAGTTATCATTAGTCACTAGGCTAGTAAGTTGAAAAGTTAGTGTTGAGCTCTATGCACTGTTAGTAACTTTGAATCTTGGGCTTCTGTTTGTTTTGTCAGTTTCAGTAGGTGAGTGTTCCATCTAGTGAAAAGGGAAAATATACCTTTCTAGTACATATACCTACTGCATGTACATGTCCCCATGTCCACAGAACACTACCTGGGCAGGGTGGCATGCTTCTGTGCACATGCAGGTATTGTATCAGAAACCCACATGGGTTTCTGACAATACACTTGTACATTGTACAACACAATCCATTTCTTACCAAAACATTCCTCTTGAGTTCTAAACACCAGTTGTCCAACAATGCCTCCATTCTTGCCAAGTCAGCATCTATTACAGGTGAAGCCGGTACAGGTGAAGCTGGTGATTCCACAGGAGATCGTGATGATGAAGATGATCCATGTTCAGCTTCTGGTGTGTTAACCACAGGTGTCACTGTATTTGTTTCTAGAAAATACATAAAAGTATATTAGAAGTGCAATAAGCAAAACATTGTACATGTTCATGTACATGTAGTGCCAAAATACCTACAAAGTCAAAGGGATAGTCGGAATTGTTCTCAATTTTACATGATTAAACCATCCACTGTGCTTACAACTACATTTTTGAATGCAAGTGATAGGGTTGACTCCCGATAACTTGAACCCTTACTAACTCGAACCTTCCGTTCACTCTAACCAAAATTGATTTCTCTGTCATACAATGTGCTGTAATTTTACCCTCAGAAACTCAAACCTCGATAACTTGAACCTCCCGTTAACTCGAATGAAAATCAATTTCACCTGGATCTCTGTCATTCAATGTGCTGTGATTTTACCCTCAGAAACTCAAACCTCAATAACTCGAACCTCGCGCTAACTCAAAGCTATTTTTGTTACCCTTCTGGTCATTTTCTATATATTATAATTTTTCCATGATAACTTGAACCATATTTGTCAATATGTCATGTGACAACTCAAAACAGCCAGTGCTGTAATTCAATAACATTAAAACTATTTCTTGAAAAAGGAAATCACTATAGCAGTAGCCCAACGTTGTTCTCTTTGAAACCTGCAAAGTTCACAGTATCAGGACTTCTCCTGCTGCTTTTCTTTGCTTTGTTTTGTTTCCTATAATCAAGTATGCTTATACAAGTACGTTCTGATTAACACAGTACACCGTAATTCAGAAATGTATTGTTCTACTTATACTCAACTAATTTATGATTACATTTGATAATGATGTACACAGTATGAATAGGAATACAGTAAGCATGTTTTTTTCCTTATTTCCGGTCATTTTTTCTCAACTCCCGACATCTCAAATCTTTTGGTTCAAATATGTCTAATTTAATTAATCGATTCAAACGTCGAACTTCTCAACATTTGATTCGGGCATTCGGCACATGAGAAATTCGACGTTTGAAAAATTCTCGAAACTTTTGAATCAAAGCATCCTTTTATAACTTAATACTTTTGAAAAATTGCTTGGTTTTTTTGAAAAGTGGGCCCTTAAGCTTAATCAAAGAGAGAAGTTTAATTACCACTGAGCTTACATGTACGTACCACTGCGTAGCAGAGAATCCCTTGCTATGGATCCTTGCCCTTGAAAGGAAACTTTTAGAGACGGAGTTCCTGGCAGTTGTNTACAAAGTCAAAGGGATAGTTGGAATTGTTCTCAATTTTACATGATTAGACCATCCACCATGCTTACAACTACACTTTTGAAAAGTTACAAAAATTGCAAGTGATAGGGTTGACTCCTGATAACTTGAACCCTTACTAACTCGAACCTCCCATTAACTCTAACCAAAATCGATTTCTGTCATACAATGTGCTGTAATTTCACCCTCAGAAACTCAAACCTCGATAACTTGAACCTCCCGTTAACTCGAACCAAAATCGATTTCCCCTGGATCTCTGTCATACAATGTGCTGTGATTTTACCCTCAGAAACTCAAACTTTGATAACTCGAACTTCCTGCTAACTCAAAGCTATTTTTGTTACCCTTCTGGTCATTTTGTATATATTACAATTTTTCCCTTGATAACTTGAACCATGTTTGTCAATATGTGACAACTCAAAACAGCCAGTACTGTAATTCAAAAATATTGAAACTATTTCTTGAAAAAGGAAATCACTATAGCAGTAGCCCAACGTTGTTCTCTTTGAAACCTACAAAGTTCACAGTATCAGGACTTCTCCTGCTGCTTTTCTTTGCTTTGTTTTGTTTCCTATAATTATGCTTATACAAGTACTTTCTCTTTAACACAGTAATTCAGAAATGTACTGTTCCATTTACACTCAACTAATCTATAATTAAATTTGATAACAATGTACACAACATGAATAGAAATACAGTAAGCATGGTTTTTTCCTTATTTCCGGTCATTTGTTCTCAACTCCCGATATCTCAAATCTTTTGATTCAAATGTCTAATTTAATTGATTCAAACGACGAACTTCTCAACATTTGATTCGGGCATTCGGTACATGAGAAATTCGACGTTTGAAAAAATACTTCTCGAAACTTTTGAATCAAAGCATCCTTCTATAACTTGATACTTTTGAAAAATTGCTTTGTTTTTTGAAAAGTGGGCCCTTAAGCTTAATCAAAGAGAGTAGTTTATTTAACAGTACTGTACTACTAAGCTTACATGTGCGTACCACTGCGTAACAGAGAATCCCTTGCTATGGATCCTTGCCCTTGAAAGGAAACTTTTAGAGACGGAGTTCCTGGCAGTTGTTTGACATCTTCTTTAGCATGAGAATGTGATTCCTCTGTTGTCTCAGAACTTTTCTTCAGGACCGAAGAATTGCTTGAAGTTGACGAGCCACTGGCACTGGTTTCTGATGCCGCCATATCTTTCACTGGAACACTCTGCCCATAAATGCTTGAAGCCAACTGGATTTTCGGCGTTACAACAGCGTACTTTAAAAGCTCTTCGTACTCTCTTTGTAAAGAAGAAGAAACAGAACTTCCAGGGGAATCCATATCAGAAATTTGTGGCCCAGAGTCAGATTCCATGTCAGAAGCCATATTTTCCTGTAGCTTTCTCCAATATTCAAAGATGGCGTCCGTTTCTTTTCTGGCTTCCGATTGGTTCTTTCGGATTTCTACTAGTTGCTGATTGGTCTAATAATTGGATAATTTGATTGGTTAGTGCTAACTCATGCCCGGGACTTTGGAGCAAATTATTCTGACATATTCAAAATTTTCAAAATGGCCCTACCTTCTCATTGGCGTTTCTCAACCCAGTACAGTGTTTCTAAACCCAAGGACTTCATTTCTCCTACATCAAACCGCGCTGGAATGTGTATTTACTTGTTCAGAACCTATGTCTTATGTAACAATATCAGCATAGGCGTGTTATTTTGCTTTTGACATCGACTTGATCGAACGAAGAAAATGGCGGGAAAGATGAGAAGCAGTTTTATTAGATTTAGCAAATGGGTCTCATCTTGTACATTCAAACTTGAAAGTGAATTTGCTTTGGTGGCAAGTTCTTACCTTGCAGGGACTTTCCCTCACATCAAACAGTATTTTTTTGAAACTCTTCTCTTCGTTGACTGAGCAGATGTCACATGACCATGTTTTGTCACATGACCATGTTTTGACACACCACCATGAATACAACGTAAACACGGCACGACACATGATCGTACGCGTGGAAAAGTTGAGCAAGGTTCTATGCTGCGGAAGTTTTCTTCCTGACGCGCGTTTGTGGATAATTATAAACTGCACAATGCAGCGACGAGAAAGTCTTTACGGTAGGTGGGGAAATGTATAAAGATTGTCGCGACTGTAAAATGCGTAAAAGGGTATCGATTTGTTCGTAGTCGTGTGTGTTAACTGTTTCATTTTGTTCGTATTTTTCATTACGTAGCCATTAAGTTTTCTCGATTTCACCTCGAGCTCCACTTTCTAATGAGGTAATTAAGGGTTTTAATAGACGATTTTATTCAAGGAGTCTTGTAAATAAATTTATTGTATTTCCATGAGTGAACGAGGTTACTATCGAGACATTTTTCACCAAACTTTGATACCAGAACCGTTCTTATTTGAAAGGCTTTGTTGCGGTGAAACACCCTCGATTTGTTTGGCAGCGACGATTTGCGTCATAATACTACAACTGTAGAGATAATGGAGAAGATTGAAGATCACATCTATAGGCTAGGATGCGCTCCATTCCGAAGATGCGCTAAGATTTTCAAAAGTACAACGTACATTTTTGTACGCGTCGAGCAAAAGCGTAAATGGGCAACGTAAATCACCTTAATTATGCGCCCAAGGAGACGAAGAGGATTGAGTAAGCGAAATGTAGTCACTTATAAAATTTGTTTAGCTAATATAATGCTAAACACTCGTCTTAGCGACCCTTAGAGAAAAGACTGGATGTCAACAATTTTTTTTGACGTAGTCATTCCGACCTGTGTAACTATGTAGGTTAAATGACTGCTTTCAAAAATGTCATGTGACTCAAATTTCAAAACAAAGAGCTCATGCAGATTTTTTATTTATTTATTTATTTTTTTTATCATTTCTCCCTTTTATTCCAGGGTCATGGCCAATTGTTTCTTGTCCTAGAGATTATGAATTTCTGCCAGGGAAATGCAAGTTGATGATTCTCAAGGGCTGTCGACATCATATTGCAGGACTCAGATGCCGTTTACCTGAGGAGTCACTTTGTTCACTGCCAACCCACTCTTCACTGTATTTTCCTGGTCAGTTTGTCCTCAGCCAGTTTGTGGTTGCACTAGGTAGTGACAAGCAAGAGTTGTTTGAGTGCTACATGGAGGCCAGTAGAAATGGGAATTTCAAAATCGTAAGTAATGCTAGCATGGTACTGGTAGGTAAGGCGTCAAGCCTTGTACATTTAAGGGATAGCAGGAACATCAACAATGTAAGAGATCAGTAGATATAGCATGCAGACATCAACAAACCAGCTTGCACTAATATCATCCTATGTATTGCAGGAAGTTTTTTTACAATCACTTGTTTAGGTCTAGATTCATACAGTGTGAAGTTTTTAGAACCTGTGAACATGTCACTTTTCACAGGACCAAAACCTTTGAAAAACACAGTGGAAAAAATATGATTTTTTTACAAGCTCTGAACGTCGTGCTTTTGAACAGAATTTATGTCATTGCAAAATTCAAATTTTGTTTTATTGGATGTTTATGTATCACAGGATTGTTTGCAGGTTTTTTAAAGATTTTTTATTGAATAGTGCTAAATTGGAATTTTCATGAAGAAGGAAAGGTCTTCTTCCATTTGTTGTGTGCTCATCCTGACGAAAGAACATTAGTACTTGATTTGTATAACAGATGTGACTGAAATGCACTCCTTGTTATCATCTACCCACCTACATGTAGTCACTTCATGCTACAGAAACTGAGATAAGCTCCGGCCTAATGCAGCCCAGCAGGAAAAAACCTAGGTCTGATTGCCAGGGGCAAGTAAATTTTGCTCTTGGGCAAGTGAAAATGGAAGTATGGTGGTCTGCTGGGCAAGTGAAATTAGCCTCAGTAGTCCTGTTAGTGATAAATTCAGAACAAAAACAATTTCAAAACTTCAGACTGCAAGATGAGCTAAACAATGAGTTGAAAGCAAGGATTACGTTGGTTGATAAGGCATGAACTTTGTACACCTACAGTACAGCCCAAAAATAATGCACGCGCAAGAACTTCTTTTTGCGTCCACAAGAAGTCAACTTCTTGGGGCTTCTTGCGGGTCGCTTGCGCTTGGATCCTGCAAGCAGCAAGAACTTCTTTGTAATAGGATTTTCAAAACGCAAGAACTTCTTTACGGTGGGATTTTCAAACCGCAAGAACTTCTTTGTGCTAACATTGTAGCACGCAAAGAATTAAGCATAATAAGACGCTGCATGTGACTTTCCTGGAGACAAAACTGTCGGTGTTATGGACACTGGGAAGATTATGGCAACCCAGGCTGAAATCTTTACTATAAAAGACTCTGCAACAAGTTCTAAAAGAAATTTACAACATGGTAGCGTCTTATTTGTTTACACACGCAGTCTTAGTGGTTCAGTGTGACATTTGAACGAAAGTTTCCTTCGCTCACAGATCATGCAAGAAGAAAGAAAAAACCAGTGGAAGCCAGGTTAATTACACTTTTCTTCATGAATTGTTTCCTTAGCAGCTTCATTATTTGGAGATGTGTTGTGATTGTCGCGTAATTATGAAGTTAACGCAATCGAAGGGCTTTTTTTTGTAAGTGACATGAACACGCTTGTAGTTACATGCAGCTCAGGCCCGGGTTGTTCGAAACATGGATAGCACTATCACCTGAACAAATCACTATCTAGTGCATAGCGCGGTTTGTTTTCTTAAAATGTATCCACTTTGTATCGATTTTGTAACGTATGGATTTTGCCCTTTTTTTGGAAAACAATGAGTGTTACCTTATGCAATAACAACAGCAACAGAAATACTGGCTACTTATAAGTGTTGCCTTTGTAAAACCGGTGATTTTGCGAGAAAATCTGTGCAACTCGTTTGGAGTGTCACGTGTTTGTATTTGTTTGACCACAAGTTTCTCTTTTACAGAGATCATCATCTGCTCTCTTAACAGCTATGCGCTCTAAAAATGCGCCAATGGCAAAGCTTTCTACATTGTGTCCACAGTGTTTTTCGCAACATTAATCTAAGATTGCCTGGTAGTTTTTGGATGTTGTTTACTCATTGCAGTGATGATAAATTTGCAAGTTTACAGCAAGTAAACAGCCCCAACAGCCAAGATAAGTTTCAGATATGTTGTACCGACATGTATTTGGTACAATTCTTAGTGAATTTTGTGGTATTTTGCATGTTTTTGTGAATTTTGTGGGATTTCGCGGATTTACTTGAAATTTGCGGCTCTGCGACCACGCGAAATATCAGAAGCCCTGAATGTTATTTCTCTTGAGAACCTTTTCTATAATATTGCCTACAGAATGGTGGACGTTACGTCATGGAAGTGGAAGTGAAGCCACCTGGTTGCATGCATTTAGCAGAAACCACTGCTGTCGACTGTGCTGGGAATGCTCTACCCTCCTATGCCGGAAAGTTTACTTTTCTCCTTCCAGCTAACATGTCCAGGATCTTCCACATCAATATCAAGTTGAAATCAGTAGCTGGAAATGAACTTCTTGATGAGGTTCAAACTGTTATCGTCACTCATTATGCACCAAATTATTTGTTTGATTATTGGGATGGTCACTCTCTGCCGGCAGTGGACTTACCATTTGCTAAAAGACAGCTTGTGGGTAAGTATTCAGTTGTCTTGCAGAGATGACATACATGTCTACGATGATATGCGATCTTCATGTTCATGTTCATCTGTGTGCTATGTAATGTGCTCATTGAAAAAAAAAATTTTACCAAAACTTGAATTAATTCTATCATGATGCACAAATTAAATTATTTATTTAATCTTTAGTAATTCCTGTTCATTACAGTGTACATGTGGGTTTTCAGTTTGGGAGCCACTGTAATTAACAAGCACGATATTGAGTTATACATGTAATGTCTGCAGCCACAATTGTCTGAGTGTGTCTGTTGAAAAAGAAACTCTGTTATTTGTACATTGTTAGGACTGTATTGTTGTATAAGTTTACCTCTGATGTTGAAATAATTGAAGTATCACCTACTGATTCATAAGACTAAGTTTGACTACAAATGTTATTATTATAATAACACTGTAGTGAATACAGTGGCTGCTCTTGGCTTATTTCAGGTATCCTTGGAACTCCTGAAGGTCAAAAGACTATTCGGTATTTTCAGGATCTAGTGGAAAATGGTAAGTTAGTGCAAATGAAGTAAACCTTACAATCATGTAATAAATTGAACGTCATTTGGTTTTTATTCAAAACTGTTGACTGCCATAGCCTTGTACATTTGAACAGCAGTACCCAGTGAGTCTCATTAGATTGAAATATTGATTTTACTGACAACATGACTTGTTCATTGTGTCAGGTGCTTACCAATGTTTCAAACGAGATCAGCTCCGTCTTATTCAACATTCTCATACACCTGGCACCTCAGAAGCATTATACAAGGATTTGCTTCTTACAGTTCAGCTAGAGGTAGGGCATTTAATGATTTATACAGCACCAGTGGTGATTTGTTATTTTGAAATCAAAATGCTTTTTTGTGCTAATATAGTGTAATTTCTTGTACATGTACAAAAAATGACTGGCAATTAATGCATGTACTTTACTTATAAATAGTATCAAGGTTTTTACCTAGTCTGCTTCCTACGCTGTATTTTGTAAATATGGTACAATTTGGATGTTTATTGTTAATGTGCAAGATGCTGTCATTAGCAAAATTAATTTATTATCAATGAGTTAGGCTTTGCACCCGCTTTCAGTGTTACGTGCATAGGAACTATCTTTTGACATGCTATGTAACCTGGCCTACGTCAAAATGTAAGCACAAGTGGCTTCTTTGTGGTCGAACTCGACTTTTAGTCATGAAAGATGGATTTATTTGACATCAAACTAAGGCTGGGAGATCAAGAAGTCATTCTGTGAGAGATAAATCAACTGTTGTGAATGATTACATCTTTCGAATATTAACTGAGCAGTAGCAACCCAATTCTACCAGAAGTCACTATTGAGAGCCGATCGACTACACTAAAATCCTTAGAAATCCCATAAATCGGGAGTCCACAATCTTCGTCATTCATTTGAGGTCAGTAATTATCATATACTACTGCAAAACTACTACAGAAAGTCATTTGTTCTGCTAATAACTAAAAAAGATTGCCAGTTTCACAGGTAAACGGTCTTTCAGCCATTTACATAGCATTTCGAAAGATGGAATGGCGAGAGATGGTCGAAAGATGTCGCCTGTGCATGTAACACTGAAAGCGGGTGTAAATATAGTTATATTTATCGAACATTCAAGTAACGTAAACACCCGTGAAGACGATATAGCTGACATATTGTAAGACAAGTGTGTTAATGTCCCAAATCGTTGTTCTATGGAATTGAGCCTGTGAATTACAGTATTTGCAAAACAGGTATAGACGCATAGAGAGGGTGTATTAAATATTCCAACGGTTTGGCAGTTTAAGCCAATTTTGAGTGCTGGGTTGCAGGTACATTCACATTTTAATTTTTTCCAGGAGTTTACAGTTAAGAAATTATTGTGTGGTTATGGGAAACCATAAATTTAGCTTGCAGTTTGCAGTTTTTTGATGTTTTTGAGGCGCTGACTTGGACGAAGAAGACAGAGCAGTAACTTTATCTTGCTTGAAGCTTCTCCCTCAACAAAAGATTGGCTTTTAGGGCTGGAAACAATTTGTTCTGTGCTCAAGATCTTTTGGTGTTGTGAGGAGCTAATGTATCATAAAGAATTTGTTATGTGCTGTTGTGTACTGCCAAAATAATATGGCAACAATTACTGTATGTTTTTGTTTGTGTGTTTGTTTGTTTGTTTGTCACAGGAAAGTCTGTTGCTGTATCAAATGGGAGATCTTGAACAATGCAAGCAAGTAGGTGAGGATGTCTGTACCAAGGCAAATGATGCCAACTCTCCCAATTACAATGCCATTGCTGGGAAAGCAAAGAGTATTATCTCTGGTGCTTACAAAATGGAGAAGGACTTCATTAAGGCTGAAGAATTCTTGAATTCTTCTACTGAGGTGGGCTTGTTTTTGTCTCTGGTACAATATTGCAGTGTACATATATTTGTTACTTTGTCATTATATTCCATGTTCATTGTTATATTGCAGTAAGACATTCTCCCTAATACACATGTATGCCCTTTGCAGCTGGGGTCACGTAACCATATTTTTCCTAGAAGATTTTTATATTATGGCCTATAACTTAAAGAATGCCAGAAATGGAAAGAGCGCATCGAAAATACCAAAATGGCCAAGTTTGACGTCCCTGCAATTAAAGAGTAAGTTTATACGACAGTTTGAATTTTTGGAAAATTTAGAGGATTTGTATGGAAAATGTTGCTGGAGAGCAAGGCCTTGCTCTCCAAC